GGGTCGGTGGATGGGGCCGCGTCGCCAATGCATCGGCGATGCATCGGCGACGTCGTCGACGCATCGACGACGTCCGCGTTGAGAAAATCAGGCTCCACATCGAGCCGCATCGCCGAAACCTCGGCGATGCGGCGCCATCCTCCGACCCCTTCCACTCGGGCCCCACTTGTGGGGGGCCTGGAGGCAGGGTGGGGTGGGGTGGGGGTACGCAGTGCACAAGCACAAGCGTCGCCGTCGTCGTCGACGTCGTCGACGTCGTCTCGGCCTCCCCGGGGGGGGCGATGTGCCATGCAAGCGCACTTCTCCAGCGACGAGGGCGGGGCCCGGGGGCAGGGCAGGGTGGAGGTGGGGGTGGGCGTCCAGAGGCAGGAGGGTGGATGCTGCATGGCCAGAGAAGGAGGAGGCAGCGGGAGGATCGAGGATCGAGGAGGGTCGAGGCTCGAGGAGGCTCGAGGAGGATCGAGGAGGCTCGAGGAGGCTCGCGTCGAGGATCGAGGATCGAGGAGGATCGAGGATCGAGGAGGATCGAGGATCGAGGAGGCTCGAGGAGGCTCGAGGAGGATCGAAGAGCATCGAGTCGAGGCTCGAGGAGTCTCGAGGATCGAGGAGGGAGGCGAGGTGCCATGCAAAAGTGCACTCCTCCAGCGACGAGCAGCGCCCAGCCCCCGCACTGCGCGACCCGTCTGCGCCGTGCCGAGCGCCGCGGGCGGCGGCCCAGAGCGCACGGCGCCGGGCGCCGGCGGGGCGGCGCTGGGCCGCGACGTGCTCCGCGCCGTCGGCGGGGCGCCCGGCTGAGAGCACGGCTCGCGTCTTGTCTTGATGGCAGCCATGGTCATCATCATCATCACCATCATGAGCATCGTCATCACCACCAGCATCACCATCACCATCATCCACCTTACCCTCCTCCCCGTTCTTCGGAGACGGCCCAGAAAGCTCCTCAGAAGGCCAGCCTGGCGGTACGCCGAGAGGCAAGTGACACAGGGGCAGGTCCTCCCAGAAGCCCTCCAGCCCTCTGAGGAGACTCCGTTGAGGCTACGGAGCGGGCGCGGAGAGCCTCCGAGGAGGCCAGCCCCCCGTGCCCTGCCCCCTGTGCGCACCGCTGGACCATGAGGCACGTGAATCGAGGAACGCAGGGGCTTCGTCTGGCCGCGGCGAACCTCAGCTACGAACAGGCTCTCCGACCCAGACGAAGAGCCCGGAAAGCACCAGAGCCCGTTCTGGATCCCCAAAATAGCCTTTAGCGCGTCTTGTATCTACACCCCCTGCGGACCGATGGCGGTGCGGACGGCAATCGGTGAAAGGCACCGCGCACCTGCGAAGGCGTGAAGCCGCCGAGGGGACAGGGGCGAGGCGCCGGCGACAACATGCCTCCTCGCTTCTTCTCCCTCCCTGCATTCTCCTCCATCTCTCCTTCAGCTTCTTCCTACCCTGGCCCCACAAAGGCACAGAAAGGCAGAGGAGAGGCTTTGGAAATCCCAGGAGGCCACAGGAATGTTCGGCATCCAGGTGGCCCCAGGTAAGTCAAGGAGGCCGAGTGAAGCACCAGGAGGCCCTAGGCACCCACAGGATGCCCCTGGAGGCCCTAGGAGGTTCCATAAAGCCATCAAGGGCCCCAGGTGGCCCTAGCGCAGCCCAGAGGGAGACCCCGTTAATTCCGAATGACGTCTCACGGTGCCGTCATGTATGATCAGACTCATCCATACTCTGACATGCTCATACTCCTACCCCCTGTGCTGGATACCACTTACACGCATCTTCAGCTTGCGCTGCGCTTTCTGATGCGCAGACTTTCTCCCGCTCAGACCCTGTCAAACCAAATTGCCCATGCCCAGACGCACTCACTACCACGCTCACTCGTACTCAGACCCACTCATGGGTAGACCAACTCATACACACACTCGCTCGCGTTCGTGCCCTTCAAGCCCACATTCACGCATGCCCTGCGGCGAATGTGAAGACTTACCCGCGCCCAGACGAACTCTCACCTGGACGCGCTCTTGTTCATATCCGCACTCAGGCCATGCCATGCCGTCCATGTTCAGACTTACTCCCGCATTTACTACGCCGTTACAAACGTTCGTCAAATTCCATGGACGCGTCAGATGATGCAAATGTCGTCCGATACTTCCGCGCGTGCGGGCGGGCGAAGGCTGACCCCTGTCCCGACCGCGCCCAGCTGCACCCCCCACTCCCCCCAAAATCGGAATGGGCCGGGCCATGCACGGTCGGATCAAAGATCTGCGATTTTTTGGTCTGGGATTTCATCCCAGTATATCATAATAGTATATACACATGTAACGGGATAATTTGAAATCCCGACGTGAAAAAAAACACGATTTTACAAATCCAACTGGGCGGGATCCTGCCCTGCAAACGCAAAATGATCAAGCGTCAATTCATGACGAAACTTTGTCAACGCCGATGAGGGATTCACGATAGCGACGCCTCATCACGCATCGCTCCGGGTCACGCCGGATGAACGAAGGCTTCGCCTGCTAGGCCCGATGAAGACTTCGCCTGTCACGCCGGATTACCAGGCACGCGGGGCTCGCCGCGCGGCGCCGGAAATACCGCCGGGGGGGTCCACGATGGCGACGCATCGTCGTGAAGCATATGCCAGGTCACGCCGGAGGAACAAAGGCTTCGCCTGCTACGCCCGATGAGGAACGCTTCGCCTGCCACGCCGGATTGCCAGGCACTCGGTGCTCGCCGCGCGGCGCCTAAAACACCGCTGGGTCGTTACACAAAAGTGCGCCACGGTTTTGGGGGGCGTCGAGATGATGCAGATGTCGTCCGTTACTTCCGCGCGAGCTGGCGGGCGAAGCCTGACCCCTGTCCCGACCGCGCCCAGCTGCCCCCCTTCTCCCCCCGAGAGTCCTAGCGGGCCAGGCCAAGCGCGGCCGGATGAGAGACCCGGAATTTCAGAATCCGGGATTTCCGACCGTCATATAGCAGTACGACAATACAAAAAAAACAGGGTAGTTTTAACAATCCCTGCGTAATCACATACGACTTTAGGAATCCCACCGGGCGGGATCGTGCCCTGCCAACTCAAGATGATCAAGCTTCAATTAATGACAAAATCTTTGTTACGCCGATGTAGCAACTCAATCACAAAAACACATTTTCAGACTCGTACAATGTCAGACTCATGCGTTTTCGGGCCAACTCTTGCTCGTACCCACTAACAACCAGACCCGCTCACACTCAGTTTCAGACCCACTCACAACCAGACTCTCTCATACATGATCGCTCATAAACAAGCCCAATCCACTGCCCAAACTCAGACCCGCTCCCGTTCAGACTTGCTCACGCCCAGACCTGCTCAAGCCCAAACTCAGTCAGACACATTTGCATCGGGACCCGTTTATTCCCGGACCGACTGGTACTCGTAGCCTTCCTGACGGAGTCGCTCACTCTCAGTCCCACCCAAATTTCACACGCCTGGACTCGGCCTAACTCCGTGCTGAGTTGAACACTTGCGCTCTGGGCCGATCCTGTTCAGACGCTCGCCAAATTAACTAAGCGCCAGAGAAGCGCGCTGCACCTGTGTGGACCTCCATGCCGAAGACGGTTCCTAACTCAGCACCCAGGCCTCCACGTCCGTTTTCGACTACGCCGGCCAAGAGACCTGTACGACTCGTCTACCACTGCCCAATAGTTAATCGGCCACACGCAAGAGTGACCCTGGGTAAGGAGTGACCTCTGGTGCGCGGCTTCTTGGGGGGCCGAGGGGGGGCCAACCAAAAGCGCGCAAGACGCTTTTGCTGCATCGCTGACCGCTCTCGGCGATCGGGGGACCCCCTTGGGGCCCGCACCACAGGTCACTCCGGCGAAAGGTCACTCCTACGTGAAGCCGAAGTAACCTTAGCTCGGGCATGTCCTCCTACAGGCGGATTTTGAGGGAAAAAACTAGTTAACAAATACTTGCACATGATCGAACATTGTAGAAACATCGTCCCCGGCCTATTCTTTGACTGTTCTTGAATCTTTCTCCTGCGGCGGGACGTGCCCGACTAAAGGTTGCCCTTGGCGTGCCTCTGGGCAAAAGTGCACCGGCGAGGGAAAAACAGAAAGCACCCCGCCGAAGGCGCGTGTGCGCGTGTGCCGAGGCCTCGTGTGGCGGACCCGGCTGTGCACGCCACTCCGCCTCGTCCTCCACCCCCCAATGCCAGCTCCTCCGGCCATTCCCCCCTTCACATGTCCTTCTTAACTCCATCTGCATTCCTCCCCTCCCTCCCAGCGCCCCCTTCTTCCGTCCCTCCTCCCCTCCCTCCCTCCCAACGCCCATTATCACCTTCTCTCGCCTCCCTTCCTGTCAGAGGAAGCTGTGCGACGGCTGCCTGCGCTCCGATTAGCAGCCTCCAACTGTTCATCGAGGTCTTCCCCGCTGCCCTCCAGAGAGAGAGAGAGAGAGAGAAAAAAAAAAAAAACAAAAAAACATCCAGATATCCATAATGGTAAGGTTTCGGACTGCCCAGCACAATCCTTTCTATCATCTGTTCCCTCATCTGAAATCTCTTTCTGACTACACAGATTTCTGCACTCTTTTGACCTGTGCAACCCTGTGATATTAAGACCAAACTGATAACGTGTGACTTCCATAGTGTGAGCGTCTAGCGCCCTCCTCGCGTCAATGGAGCAAGTCAAGCTGGCTCGGTCCATCCTGGTGGACTCCCCGACTTGGAACCCGATCAGCCTGCACGACCAAATCGAAGCGAGGTACATCACATCAAACTGACAAAAGGTAGCAGACTGGAATGCCAAAGGAGGTCTAGAGATGGCTCATGGCAGATGGCCGAACATCCCCTAAGAGGTTACAACAAGCGGACAATACCTGAATCCCCTCGCGTCCACGCATCATAGGTCCCATCCCGCCATGCACTTTCAAGCAGCCGATGCCGCACCCTCCCCGCCTGGATCGAATGAGACCGATCTGATCGACCAGACGACGGGCAGCCTCGCTCCAGGCCTCTGCTCCAGGATTTGTGGCACCCGCGCGAGCGACGCTCCACAGATGCCGCCTGGCGCACGCCTGGCGCACGCCGTGGACTGCATTCGCAGGGCCACGCGCCAGGGCACGCCGAGGGGGGGGGAGGCGGACGGGCCTGGAGCTCGGCTTACGCACGCGAGCTGCCGGGCCCGCCGCGTGGCGACAGAGGGGGGCCACCGGCGGGGGACGCCACGGAGGGCCTCCGGGCGAGAGACGGGCGGGCTGGCCAAGGCAGGGGGCGGGGGAGCAGCCCCGGGGGAGGCTTCCAGGAGGCCGAGGTCGTGCACCGCGCCACGCGAGGCGCGATGCGCGATCATCGTCGCGCCCTCAAGCCTCCGTTCTGGAGAAGGGCGCACCTCCAACCCGGGCCGCGATGCGCGAAGCGCGATTTACCTCGCGCCCATGGGGGTGACCCAGGCAACCTTCCATGAAATCGCCACCCGAGGACGAAGGTGTGCACGGGTGGGAGTCGGCGCACTAATGAGAGTGAGGGGGCCGAACGGTCATTCATTGACCCTGGGTGCATGGCTGAATGAGAATCCGTGATGAGGACTCTGCTTGTTGCGTTGTTGTTGCTTGGGTTGTTCTTGTTGTTGTTGTTGTCGTCGTTGTTGGATGTTAATTACTAAACAATTTTTATTGTTAGACCCCCCCCAGGCGCCCTGGCGCTCTCGCCTCCCCCACTTCGCCCCCAAAAAAGGCGCCGCCCCCAGGCAACAACAACGCTCCCTCAAGGAGGTGCTCCTCATTGCCGCCGAAAACCGCCGCCCCAACAAAACCAGCGCCCCCGCCAGAGACTTCCCCCCGTTTTACGCTGGACTGGCGCCCTACTCTCTTTTGAATTGGCGCCGCCCCCAGCAGGAACAACGTTCCCGCTCAGGGCGGTGTTGTTCCTCGCCGCGGCAGCCCCCGTCCCGACCAAACCACGGCTCCCGATCGAGGCTTCCTCCCTTCTCACTCAAGGCGGTGTTCCTCCTCGCCGCCGACAACCGCCGTCCCAACAAAACCAGCGTTCCCGCTCGAGACTCCGTTTTGTTTCACGCTGGACTAGCGCCCTACTCTTTTCAGCATTGGCATCGCTCCCAGCTACAACAGCGGCCCTGCTCGACACCTCCCCCCTTTCTATTCGGGGGCAGGTCCTTGCCTCACCGCCGACAGCCCCCATGCCCACCAAGCCACTCCTGTCGCTCGATACTTCCTTGTGCTTTGCCCTTGGCTGGGGCTCCACTGGCGGTCTCGCATCGGCGAAGCAGGGCGCGGGCCTGTGTTTTCGAGGCGGGATATGTTGAAATGCCTCGGAGGAGGTATTTGCAAGAAGTCATTGGGCGGGAGATCTGGGAATGAGAATAACGGACCACGCTATAAAACAATAGTCCCCCATGATGGGGATGGTCATCATGATGGTCGCATGCTTCGTGTGGAAACATCGCGCACGAGGGTAACATGATTGTTGTTGCTGTTGTTGTTGCTGCTGAATATTCACTACTAAATCATTATTATTGTTGGACCCTCCCCAGGCACCCTGGCCCTTGCCCCTCGGCGCCGGCTACATTTTCATTGAAAATGAGGCTCGCACTCGAGCGGTTTGGGGGGACGCCAAAACGGGCCCCCCAACCACAACAACACTCCCGCTCGAGACCTTCTCGTTTTTTACTCAGAACGGGTGCATTTGCTCGCCGCCGAAAACCGCCGTCCCAACAAAACCGGCGCTTCCGCTCGAGACTTCCTCCCGTTTTACCTTGGACTGGCGCGCCACTCGTTCTCTCACCGGCGCCGAACAACGCTCCCGCTCGAGACGTCGTCCCTTTTTTACTCAGAGCCGGCGCTCTTGCTCGCCGCCGAAAACCGCCGCCGCAACAAAACAAGCGCTCCCGCCAGAGACTTCCTCCCGTTTTACGCTGGACTGGCGCCCTACTCTCTTTTGACTTGGCGCCGCCACAAGCAAGAACAACGTTCCCGCTCGAGGCTTCCTGCCTTTTTCCTGAGGACGGTGCTTGTCCTCGCCGTCGACAGCCCCCGTCCCGACCAAACCACGGCTCCTGCTGGAAACGTCTTCCCTTCTTACTCAAGGCGGTGTTCCTCCTCGCCGCCGACGACCGCCGTCCCAACAGAACCAGCGCTCCCGCTCGAGACTTCGTTCTGCTTTACGCTGGACTAGCGCCCTACTCTCTTCTGAACTGGCGTTGTTCCCAGCAACAACGGCACCCCTGCTCGACACCTCCCCCCTTTCTATTCGGGGGCAGGTCCTTGCCTCACCGCCGACAGCCCCCATCCCCACCAAGCCAATCCTGTCGCTCGATACTTCCTTGTGCGTTGCCCTTGGCTGGGGCGCAACTGGCGGTCTCGCATCGGCGCTCCATGGCGCGGGCAAGTGTTTTCGAGGCGGGATATGCTGAAATTCCTCGGAGGAGGTGTTTCAAAGACCTCATTGGGCGGGCGATCGGGAATGGGAATAACGGACCCCCGCGATAGAACAATAATCCCCCATGGAGGGAATGGTTATCATGATGGTGGCATGCTGCGTATGGAAGCGTCGCGCATGATGGTAAACTGATTGTTGTTGTTGTTGTTGTTGCTGTTGGTGTGGTTGTGGTATGATTGCTGTTGTTGTTGTTGCTGTTGTTATTGTTGTTTGTTGTCGTCGTCCCCCCCCGCGACCCACCCGCGACCCACCCTGCGACCCACCCCGCGACCCACCCCGCGACCCACCCGCGACCCAACCCGCGACCACCCCGCGACCCACCCCGCGACCCACCCGCGACCCACCCGCGACCCACCATGCGACCCACCCCGCGACCCACCCGCGACCCACGCCGCGACCCATCCGCGACCCACCCGCGACCCACCCGCGACCCACTTGCGGCCCACCCGCGACCCACCCCGCGACCCACACGCGACCCACCCGCGACTGACCCACATTGGATAAAAGATCGGCGCCTGCGGAGGGCTCGTTATATAGATTGTGGAACGTTGGCGCTTGCGGCGGGCCTCTCCACAGTCTCGCAGACTGCCGACGTCCCCACCGCCCCCTCACTCTTATCCGCATCTGCAGGCATTGAATTGCCTCCGCTCGGATTTCTAGGATCTGCGCTGGGCCCCCCATCGGCGCTGGACCCCGCGCCATGGGCGGCGCTGGAGGCGCCGACAGGGGGGCCTAGCGCCGATCCAACAAATCAGCGCTGAGCTCCCAAAGCTTGCGTGCTATGTCATGGTATGCCCCCCGAGGGAGAATGGCGAGCTTCCCCCGGGCTGCTGCCCAGCTCTCGGCCTGCTCCGGAGCTGGCGGACACAGAGCAGGCCGAGGCGAGAGCGCGAGGCCGCGCGGCGCCTGCCTCTACATGTCCGTCTCCGCCATGTCGACGTCGCCGTCCCCCGCTTGTCGGAGGACGCCCGGGCCGCCGATGACCATGGGGGCGTCGCCCTTCCCGTTGAGGAGCGCGTTGATGTCGAGGGCGGGTGCGAGCCGATGCACCACCTCGGCGGTTTCCCGCTCCGCGGCGCCCGCTGCAGCCACGAACTCCTGGCGGGCTGGGCGAAGACTCGTTCTGGAACGGCACCGCAGTGGGGACCGCGGGGGCCGAAAGGACGGGGGAGGGGTTGTGGGAGATGGGGGCAGGGGGGGCCTTCTTCGTCGGTCTGCCTTCCACAGAAAAACAAGCAGCAACAACAACAACCACAACACCAACAACAACAACAACAACAACAATCATTTTACCCGAACGCGTGGTGTTCTCCCCAGTGCCAGGGTTTTCATACGACACCAGGCAATACCCCCACTTCGTGGGGGGGCATTACAAGCTCTACCAAATATCCAAACGACTCTTCGCGACCACCCAAACCCAGCTTCCCGCCCTATGACGTTGGGACACTTCACTTCGTGGCGTGCGGACGACCGTGGCTACTACACTGGCGTGGGGTACACACCCACAGAACCCAATGGTTTTTGGAGATTTCGGCGTGCGCGCGCGAAGAAAAAACGAATGTGTCCCGCATGGTATTATTTGACAGGGATGATGGCCCTGGCAGGTGCGCAACCGTTGTCGCAGAAGTTCGAAAAAGTTGCTCGCAAAAGCCCGTTTGACAGAAATGTTTAAAAAGTGTTGGGTTTCCTACGAATCCGCAAGAGCGCGCGGGATGAGATTTTGACATTTTTTTGTTGAAAAACCATTGGTTTTTTGATGTTTTTATGTTAAAATCGCTCCGAACACTAAGCTTTTGGAAGGATTTCGTCTTGCGCGCGCGAATGTCCACTTTACCTTATTTTTTACAAGGGATTCTTGAAATTTGATTATATTTGAACAAGAAATTTCATTTTATAGTGTTTTTTGCAAGGGAAAGCGGATTACAACAAAACAACCGGATCTTGATCAACTCGAATTAACTGAGGCTTCCTCACGAAAATGATGAAAACGTGGCTGCGGCCTAGGCGCGGCGGGGGGGGCGCGCACCAGGGGGCCCAACAATAATTATTCTTTAGAATTAATAATGTTCAACAACAACAACAACAGCTGCAACAACAACAACCACAGCAACGACAACAACAACACCAACAACAACAATAATATCAGCAACAACAACAACACCAACAACAACAATCATTTTAAGATTGTTCGCCCTTATCTGCTCGAGTGACCAATAACGCCTGTTTCCCAAACCCTCGATACGCGCCCTCGTCGTTTTCGATCGAACCCCTCTTGGGGGGTATACCTTTCTTCCCTGCAGGCCGGGCCCGGCAAGCGGCGGGGCGGCCGCGGACCGTCGGCCTGGCAAGCGGCAGCGCTGATCGGCGGGGCGGCCGCGGACCGTCGACCCGACCCCAAGAGGGACGGACAGGGGATCGACCACGACGACGACGACGTCGACGACGACGACGAGCGAAAGCGAAAGAGAACGACAGCAGGGCCACAAGGACACGAAGTAGGCCACGAAGGGAAACAGCGGGGACACGAAGGGAATGCGTATGGGGCCACGAAGAGCGCGAAGGAGCGGGGCCACAGAAGGCAACGATTGGGCCACTGAGGGTAGCAACTGGGCCACGTAGGACAGATGCATATGGGGCCACCATGGGCGCGAACGAGCGGGGGCCACGAAGGGCATACATATATGGGGCCACGAAGGGCAGCGAGGGGGCCACGAAGGGATGCAACGGGGCCACGAAGGGCAGCGAAGGGGCCACGAAGGGCTGCAACGGGGCCACGAAGGGCTGCGACGGCGCCACGAAACAAAGCGAGGGGGCCACGAAGGACTGCAGCGGGGCCACGAGGGGCAGAGAGGAGGCCACGAAGGGGCAACAACGGGGCCACGAAGGGCAGAGAGGGGGCCACGAAGGGCTGCAACGGGGCCACGAAACAAAGCGAGGGGGCCACGAAGGGCTGCAACGGGGCCACGAAGGGCAGCGAGATCCCGCGTCCTATGTAATGTGTGAGGGGGTCCTGAGCGTGAGTGCGACTCCTGGGTGCCTGGGTGTCGGGAGCGCGGCGAGTAAATAACAAAAGAATCCAGCGCAGAGGCGCTATTCTTCAGCAAATTGCAAGCAAGTGTCCAGCGAGAGCGCGACTCCAGAGCGCCGGGAAAAGAAATCCCAAGGAAATCCAAACAGAGAGACAGAGAGCGCGATTCCTGAATAAAACGCGAGGAATTCTCGGGCGGGAGCGGGGGTCCTGGCTAAATTGTGAGGAATTCTCAGGCGGGAACCGCTGTTCTTGTAAACCGGGGGCCAACGACACAGTTTGACCCTCAAGACTTTCCCTGATAGGAAACAGGGTGCGAGCCCGGGGTAGAGCACTTCCATCGAAAAAAACAATGTGCACCGGACGGGGGGGATCAACAATACATATTCTTCAGAAATGATGGATCAACAACAACACCACAAACAACAACAACAACAACAACAACAACAACAACAACAACAACAACAACAGCAACAACAGCAACAACAACAACAACAACAACAATCAGTTTAAGACTGTTCGCTCTGATCTGCTCGCGTGTCATTCAATATGCATATCCCAAACCCTGGATACCCGCCCTCTTCGTCTTCGATCGTGCCCCCTTGTGGGGGGTATATTCATTCCCTGCCACGTGTGGTTGGTGAAGCCCTTGAAAACAAGGGGTAACAGATAACGGGGGAGAATTCGGACGAAGGGATCGGATGAAGGGAGGGGAGGGGCAAGAAGGAGGGAGGAGGGAGGACGATGATTTGCGCTGCGAGTGGCGACTCAGCTTGCGCCATGGCTTGCGCAAACCACTCCAACACAAGTTAACAATAAGTTCCGCCATGGGTCGCGCCATCAACAGCGCCACGTACCACCCCCACGCGGGAGATGAGCGAAGGGAGAGAAAACGACGCACTTCGTGACCCCCGCGTGTTCGTACGACGGGCGCGAACGAGTGGGGGCCACGAAGGGCATATATATATATATATATATATATATGGGGCCAGAAAGGGCGACAGCGGGGCCACTGAGCGCAGAAAGTGTGCCACGAAGGGCAGCGAAGGGGCCACGAGTGGAGCCAGCGGGGCGGCGAAACGCATGCGTATGGGACCACGAGGGGAACGAACGAGCGGGTGCCATGAGGGGCAATAAATCCGGGGCCACAGAGGGCAGCGACGGGGCCGCTGAGGGCAGAAACGGGGCCACGAAGGGCATAGAGGGGGCCACGAAGGGCGACAGCGGGGCCACGAAGGGCACGCACATGGGGCCACGACGGGCGCGAACGAGCGGGGGCCACGAAGGGCATTCGTATATGGGGCCACAAAGGGCGACAGCGGGGCCACTGAGGGCATCAAAGGGGCCACGAAGGGCAGCGAGAGGGCAACGAAAGGCGACAGCGGGGCTACGAAGGGCATTTGTATGGGGCCACGACGGGCGACTGCGAGCGGGGGCCACGAAAGGCATATAATGCGGGGCCACAATGGGCAGCGACGGGGCCACTGAGGGCAGCAACGGGGCCACGAAGGGCAGCAAGCGAAGGCGACCGCGGAACCAGTACGGGCAGCGAGGGGCGTCGAAGGCGGGAGAAGGGCAGCGAGCGGCGACTGCAGTCCCTAACGGGATGGTCGGGCGGGCAGGCCCAGACGGGCGGGTCGAGCGGGCCGGTCGTTGAAACATAAATTCTGCTTGAAACGCCAAGCAAAATGTAGCGGGAGCGCGATTCCTGAGTGTCGAGGAGCGACATCTGAATAAATTGCAAGGAAATATGAAGTGGGAACCGCGATTGGGTGGCAATTTGCGAGGCAGTCCCAAACGAGAGCGCGATTCTCCAGTACACTGTAAAGAAATATCAAGCGGGAGCCGCGATCCCGTAGTAAATTGCAATGAGGTCCCAAGCGAGAGCGCGATTCTTCAATACATTTTGAGGAAGTATCAAGCGGGACCCGTTATTATTGTTGTTGTAAGCTTGGAACCAACAACACAGCTTGACCCTCAAGATTTCCCTGATAAACAACCAGGTGCGAGCCCGGGGAAGGGCACTTCAATAGAAAAACAATGTGCACCGGACGGGGGGATCAACAATACTTATTCTTCAGGAGTGAAAGCTCAACAACAACAACAACAACAACAACAACAACAACAACAGCAACACCAACAACAGCACCAACAACCACAACATCAACAACAACAACAACAACAACAACAACAACAACCACATCAACAACACCACTACCAACGACAACATCAATAACATAAACAATTATCCTGGCGAAGGACCCAACCATATGAAGTTGTGGGTACCGCAATTGTGAATATCTTCTTCGGTGAAGCTCCCTATGGGGCCACGAAGCGCTGCGCTGGGCGGGGAACGCATGCGGGCGGTAACACTGGGGCCGTCGGTGAAGCTCCATATGGGCCACGCAACGCTGCACCGGGTGGGCGAACATGCCAAATTCGGCGTGTGGGACGCACGCGGGCGGTCCCACTGGGGGCATCGGTAGAGCTCCCTATGGGGCCTAGAAGCGTTGTAAAAAAAGTGAACGGAAATTCCAAATTGGGTGTGGGGGACGCATGCGGGCGGCCCCACTGGGGTCTTCGGTGGGGCTCCCTATGGGGCCACGAAGCGCTGTACTGGGCCAGTGAAGGTGCCAAATTGGGTGTGGGGGACGCACGCTGTCCCACTGGAAGTTTCGGTGGAGCTCCCTGTCGGGGACGCATGCGGGCGGTCTCACTGGGGGCTTCGGTGGAGTTCCCTATGAGGCCACGAAGCGCTGTACTGGGCGGGTGAAAAAGCTAAGTTACGGATGGTGGACGCACGCGGGCGGTCCCATTGGGGGCTTCGGTCGAGCTCCCTATGGGGCCACGGAACGCTGTACTGGCTGGGTGACAGTGCCAAATTGGGTGTGGGAGACGCATGCGCGCGGTCCCATTGGGGGCTTCGGTGGGGCTCCCTATGGGACCACGAAGCGCTGTACTGGGTGGGTGACAATGCCAAGTTGAGTGTGGGGGGGACGCATGCGGGCGGTCCCACTGGGGGCTTCGGTGGGGCTCCCTATTGGGCCACGGCGCGCTGTATTGGGTGGGTGGAACCAAATAAGATGTGGGGGGCGCATGTGGGCGGTACAATTGGGGGCTTTGGCGGACGCATGCGGGCGGTCCCACTTGGGGTTTCGGTGGGGCTCCCTATGGGGCCACGAAGCGCTGTGCTGGGTGTGCGAAAAAATCAAAATTTGGTGTGGGGGACGCATGCGGGCGGTCCCACTCCCTATGGGGTCACGAAGCGCTTTGCTGGGTGGGTGAACATGCCAAATTGAACGTGGGAGGCGCACGTAGGCAGTCCCACTTGGGGTTTCGAGATCCCTATGGGACTACGAAGCGGTGTACTGGGCGGGTGAAAATGCCATATTGGGCGCTGGGGACGCATGCGGGCGGTCCCACTGGGGGCTTCGGTGGAGCTCCCTATGGGGCCACGAATCGCTGTACTGTGTATGTGAAAATGACAAAGTGGGTATGGGGGACGCATGCGGGCGGTCCCACTGGGGGCTTCGGTGGAGCTCCCTATGGGGCCACGGAACGCTGTACTGGCTGGGTGAACATGCCAAATTGGGTGTGGGGGACGCATGCGGGCTGCCCCACTGGGGGCTGCAGTGGAGCTCCCCTGGGGCCACGAAGCGCTGTACTGGGTGGGTGAAACTGCCAAGTTAGGCGTGGGGGGCGCATGCTGGCGGTCACAATGGGGGCTTCGGTGGAGTTCCCTATGGGGCCACGAAACGTTGTACTGGGTGGGTGAAAAATAGCAAGTTAGGTGTGGGGGACGCATGCGGGCGGTCCCACTGGTGGCTTCGGTGGAGCTCCCTATGGGGCCACGAAGCGCTGTACTGGGTTTGTGAAAATGCCAAATTGGGCGTGGGGGAAGCATTCGGGCGGTCCCACTGGGGGCTGCGGTGGAGCTCCCTATGGGGCAACGAAACGCCGTACTGGGTGGGTGAAACTGCCAAATTGGGTGTGGGGAAACGCCTGGAAGAAGGAAGAGGGAGGGGAGGATGGGGAGGAGGAAAAGAGGAGAAGAGGAAAGGAACACGGGACCGTCTTTTCAAAACGATGACCCGAAACCACAGGATGGCTGGGAACAACAACAACAACAACAACAACAACAACAACAATCATTTTACCCGAACGCGTGGTGTTCTCCCCAGTGCCAGGGTTTTCATACGACACCAGGCAATACCCCCACTTCGTGGGGGGGCATTACAAGCTCTACCAAATATCCAAACGACTCTTCGCGACCACCCAAACCCAGCTTCCCGCCCTATGACGTTGGGACACTTCACTTCGTGGCGTGCGGACGACCGTGGCTACTACACTGGCGTGGGGTACACACCCACAGAACTTGGTCACTTATTCGGGGCGCGCATGTGCCCAGCATGGTGCAATTGTGCCATGCTGGGCAATGCGCGGATGGTATTATTTGACAGGGATGATGGCCCTGGCAGGTGCGCAACCGTTGTCGCAGAAGTTCGAAAAAGTTGCTCGCAAAAGCCCGTTTGACAGAAATGTTTAAAAAGTGTTGGTTTTCCTACGAATCCGCAAGAGCGCGCGGGATGAGATTTTGACATTTTTTTGTTGAAAAACCATTGGTTTTTTGATGTTTTTATGTTAAAATCGTTCCGAACACTAAGCTTTTGGAAGGATTTCGTCTTGCGCGCGCGAATGTCCACTTTACCTTATTTTTTGCAAGGGATTCTTGAAATTTGATTATATTAGAACAAGAAATGTCATTTTATAGTGTTTTTTGCAAGGGAAAACGGATTACAACAAAACAACCGGATCTGGACCCCATCCACTTTTCTGAAGCTTTCGCGAAAAAATGATGAAAATGTAGCTGCGGCCTAGGCGCGGCGGGGGGGCCGTGCACCAGGGGTCCCAACAATAATTATTCTTTAGAATTAATAATGTTCAACAACAACAACAACAACAACAACAACAACAACAACAACAACAACAACAAGGGCAACAACAACAACAACAACAGCAACAACAACAACAATGTTACGATTGTTCGCCCTTATATGCTCGAGTGTCCAACAACGTGTATTTCCCAAACCCTCGATACCCGCCCTCTTCGTCTTCGATCGAACCCCTTTTGGGGGGTATACCTTTCTTCCCTGCAGGCCCGAACCCGGCAAGCAACGGGGCGGCCGCGGACCGTCGGCCTGGCCGGCGGCAGCGCTGATCGGCGGGGCGGCCGCGGACCGTCGACCCGACCCCAAGAGGGACGGACAGGGGACCGACCACGACGACGACGACGACGACGACGACGACGACGTCGAAGACGACGTCGACGGCGACGACGACGGCGACGACGAGCGAAAGCGAGAGCGAGAGAGAACGACAGCAGGGCCACGAAGGGCACGAAGTAGGCCACGAAGGGCGACAGCGGGGACACGAAGGGAATGCGTATGGGACCACGAAGAGCGCGAACGAGCGGGAGCCACGAAGTGCAGATAATGCGGGGACACAGAAGGCCACTATGGGGCCACTGAGGGTAGCAACTGCGCCACGTAGGACAGTGAGGGGGACACAAATGGCGACAGCGGGGCCACGAAGGGCATGCACATGGGGTCACAACGGGCGCGACTCCTGGGTGCCTGGGTGTCGGGAGCGCGGCGCTTGGGCAAATTGCACGCAATTCCAACGCAAGGCCATTCTTCAGCAAGTTGCAAGCAAGTCTCCCGCGAGAGCGCGACTCCAGAGCGCCAGGAGAGCGATTCCTGAATAAGTTGTAAGGAAGTCCCAAGCGAGAGCGCGATTCCTGAATACAATGCGAGGAAGTCTCGGGCGGGAGCGGGGGTCCTGGCTAAATTGTAACGAAGTCTCAGGCGGGAGCCGTTGTTGTTGTAACCTGGGGGCCAGGGGCCCAGTTTGAGCAGGGGGCGAGCGTCGAGGGGCACACTTTGATTGAGAAAAAGCAGGATGCACCGGTGGGGGGGATCAACAATAATTATTCTTCATCAATGAGAATTCAACAACAACAACATCAACATCAACATCAACATCAACAACAACAACAACAACAACAACAACAACAACAACAACAACACCAATAACAATAGCAATAGCAATAGTAACAGCAACAACAGCAACAGCAACAGCAACCGCACCAACAAGCTAGAAAAGCTGCGGCCCCCAACCCCAACGCCCTCGTCTGTCGTCACCGTGCGACCACTGGGAGCGACGACGAACATCAAGGACCGAAGGGGCTGTGCTGGCCACGGCAGGCCCCGACCACGGCCAGGCTCCCGAACCCTGGGCAGGAGGCGCGGACCCGCAAGCCAGAGCCAGTCCTGAGCCCAGGGCGGTCCCTGCCTCAACGACTCGACGGCACCCTCTGGGCTTCTGCACCCTCTGGGCTTTCGGTCTGCGAGCCTTGGGCGGGAGGACGTAGTACCTGAACCTGCCCGAGGTCCAGTCCGTGACCACGGCCTTCGCGGCCGAGGGGAGGTCGAGCCCGCTGCCGCGCTTGAGCTTGCCCCGCGTGCGGGCCACGTGCACCAGGAACTCGCCGACGGTCCCGAAGTCCTGCTCCAGGCCGTAGTACTCGAGCAGCGACTGTCGCGGTGCCTTCGCAATCAGCGCTTCCACCACTCCGACTGGATCGGGAAGCCTGTCCACGGCGAGGATGTTGCGCAAGGCAACGGTCGGGTCCGCTGAGTCCCCCTCGAAAACAACCCCTGGGGAGTCGATCAGGGTCACCTTGGAGTCGATCTTCACCTCCTGCATCTCCTTGGTCACGCCTGCGCGGCCTCCAGCTTCAACCGCGTTGGTACGCTTGATCGAGTTAATGACAGAGCTCTTTCCAGTATTGGGATAGCCGACGATGCCCACATTGATGTGAGCCTTCATCTTGCTGCCGTCGCCAGTACGAGCATAATTCTTGAGCAACTGCATGAGGTCGTCCGCGCCAACTACCGCGTGTGTACTTCTCAATAGGCCTTCCGACGCACGTGACGTGCTGCACGTGGCGTGAATGGGTCTCTTGCACTCGCCGTGGGCGGACTTGAACGCCACTGTGGGGAACGACCGCTTCAAGTACTGCATCCACGCCTCCACCGCCTCCCTGGGCACGAGATCTATCTTATTGATCAGTAGCACCAGCTTCTTCCCTGCAGCTAGCACGTCCTTCTCCAGCTCCGCGCTGCGGCTGGACGCCGGATCCCGAGCGTCCAGCACCTCGATGACGACGTCTGCCGCAGAGATCACCCTGCGGCACTCGGTGTAGAAGCGCTTGCGCGTGTTCTCGGCCTCCCTGCCATTGTCGATCACTGGAGTATCTTCCTGAGCGGCTGGCGGAAGCATCCCCGCCTGAAGAACACCCCCCCACCAACCAGCTTCGACTGGGCGACTACGTAATTGATTTACCCCAGAATTGATTTTCACGTCGACTCTTCAACAAAAATACGTCAACCAAATTGCGATTCTTTCACGTCGACTCTTTCACGTCGACTCGTAGATCTGCGAAAGTTCTACGAATTGCCCGTGCACTCGGCAAGAAAATTCAATTCTGGGGCAAATCAATTCTGTAGCCGATCCCATACTCGACAGCTGGTGCAGTGCCCCCCTCCCCCGCCTTCACAGAGATGGCGGGAGATCCGGGGCCAGGGCGACGGGGCGCCGACGGCATGCCGACGCGACGCCTGGCCAGTCTCACACCACGGCCCGAAGTAGCATAGGGGAAAGCGCGACGGCCTGCAACTTCCATACATTGAATATGTAGACGTATGTATGTATGTATGTATGTATGCATGCATGCATGCATGCATGCATGCATGCATGCATGCATGCATGCATGCATGTATGTATGTATGTATGTATGTGTGTGTGTATGTATGTATGTATGTATGTATGTATGTATGTATGTATGTATGTATGTATGTATGTATGTATATGTGTATGTATATATAAATGTGTGTAAAGGTGTGTGTATACATGAAATAGTCATTATATAATTATATATATAGCCGTCGGTCAGCCAGGGCACGACCACCCGCGCACCCGTCCGTGGGCCTGGCCAGGTGCCGGCGGCCCCGCGGCGCGCACGAGGCGCCCGTCGCAGCGGGGGGCGGCCCGTTCGGGCGCGTGGCGCAGCGGGGCGCCGACCGCGCGGCCCGCGGCGTGCCGGCGCGAAGCTCCGCACGCAGACCGGGAGCGCACCGCCAGGCCAAGAGCAGAAGTGATGGGCCGGTTTTCCACCACCACCATTATTATGTAGGAGGGGGAGGGGGTCCTCCTCCTCCTCCTCCTCCTCCTCGCCCTCCTCCTCCTTATCCCCTCCAAATTGTGGTGGTGGTGGTGGAAAACAGGCCCATCTAGAAGAAGATCCTTCGAGTAAGGGGTCGACTACAGGATCGATGAACCCCGAAACGGATTGTCCCGTCGAGCCTGCTACAAAAATGCGTAACATATTATGCACATCTAGAGCACAGTCCACACATCCTTCGCGGACTCGAAGGACAAGTCCATTTTGGGGTGAATCGATTCGCAGATGGGGTCCTGAGGGATGAGGGCATGAGGCCCTCTGCCAGCCAAATCACCCCAAACGATGGGATTACCGAGGGTACCCTTTCCCAGGATGCGCAAGAGCATGTGACGAGCACGAAGAACATCAAGAACATCCTTCCTTTTCCGACCTCGATCTTGCACATCGTCCCGGCCGCAGGCCTGGCGCGAGACGCTCGCCGAAACGTGGGCCAGCACGTGCCAAGCCGACGCGCAGTGTGCTGACGCGGGCGTTTCTTTGAAAACGCCCGCGCTGCGCTTCGACACGGCGGCGTCGTCGACGTCGTCGTCGTCGTCGGCGCCAGCGTCGTCGTCGTCGTCGGCGCTGCGGGCCCGCAGTAGAAGCAACCCGGGCGGATGCTCCCTCAGAAGCTGCGCAGCCGTGCAGCGTGTGAAGGGTCGTAGCGCCGGCCCTCTGCGGGGCGGGGCCCTCCGCGGGGCTGGGCGGGTGCGGGGAGGTCAAGGAGTGCGGCGGTGCCGCGCCCGGACGCTGGGCGCCCCACCCCCCTCCCGGGAGGCCGCAGGTCCAAGAGCCCCCCAGTGGGCCCCAAGGTGGCCCCAAGAGAGGCCCACGAGAGGCCCAAGAGGGGCCTCAGAGGCCCCCCAGGCGGCCCCAAGCGCGCCCAAGAGCGTCCCAAGAGCGTCCCAAGATCACCCCCAGGGGCGAGCTTGATGGCCCGAAGGGGGTGGGACCAACATCGAGGACCCCCCTTCTTTGATCGATAGCCTCCAAGATGGCCCCTCGGGAGAGCTGACGAACATGGCACCTCCAGGGATCGTCAGGCCCAGATTCTGCTGCACCGTGGCGCCGAAAAGGGAAGTCTCTGAGGCGCCCAGACGTCATGATTCTGGCTGCCCGCTCCTCGACCTCGGCGCCCTGCGGGTTGTCCCTCTCGAAGTCGCCGCCTCGGCGCGCGGCTTCCGCCAGCATGGACGACAGGTCGCGCGGGGCAGCCGCGCTCTCGGGAGCCTCTTGGGCTCCAGGAAATGAAACGATTGTCCACCGCTGCGGCTGCCACGAAGAGCTATACGGCTACTCGGAGCTTGTTCACTCCATCGCGCCTTGCGGGAGGTTGGCTGCTGGTCGGCACCCCCTCTGGAAGACCATAGCTTCGAAATCCGCATCAATCAAGCCGACGTGTTTCGCTCGTTCGCCAGGGAACAAATCCCGAAAAGGCGCTCCATCGCCTTCATGAATGTTGAATTCTGCAAGCCTCCTACACTCGCTCCCATGGCGTGTCCCAAATGATAATGCCCGGAAACAATCACCACCCGCAAGTTGTTCTCAGAACAAGTACAATCAACAGAGAAGATCTCTCCACGATAGCAACCAAAGACTTCCCTGTGCCACCTGAAACTCGAACACCACGGTACCACAAAAAAGCTCCAACCATGGTGATAAGCACTTTGCCCCGTGAGACCCCAACGGAACTGCAGCGTGTGCATACGTGTGCGTGTGTGCGTGTGTGTGTGTGTGTGAATGCGCGTGTGTCTGCGCGTGTGTGTGTGTGTGTGTGTGTGTGCGTGTGTGTGTGCGCGTGCGTGCGTGCGTGCGTGCGTGTGTGTGTGTGTGTGCGTGTGTATGTGTGTGCGTGCGTGCGTGTGTGTGTGTGTGTGTGCGTGCGTGCGTGCGTGCGTGCTTGTGCGCGTGTGTGTTGTGTGTGTGTGTGAGTGAGCGTGTGTGTGTGTGTTGTGTGTGCGCGCGTGCGTGCATGCGTGCGTGCGTGCGTGCGTGTGTGCATGTGTCTGTGCGCGCGCAGAATATCCGGCCCCTGCAGATGAGAACCATATATCATGGGCGTGTTTCCGTTATGTAAACGATCTCGTCGTGTGCCGACAGGCTTTGTGTGTTGGGCACGTGCGCCAAATAGGTTTTCGCGTGTGAATAACGATCGTTATGCCAAATTGTTGCCCCATGTACGAACACAACATGTTTCTACCGCTATGGTGCCAGCAATGTGCATGCGCTCCTCGTGTAAATGATGCCAGTGCTGCTTGGGCGGCGCATTATGTCTATGTCTAGAAATATATGTATATGTATATATATATACATATATGTATATATATGTATATATAACATATACGCATACATAGATGTGTACAGGTCGCTTGTGTCTGACAACTGTATCCGACATTTGCGCCTACCCCATGCCTTCCTATGAACACGTTTGACCATATTATGTGTTTGTGCATGGTCACGTATTCTTTCGTTCGGTGTATGATATGTGCGGGGTGCATAAATGTGTTCCATTGCATGCGCAAGGCCCGTCAGTTATTTGCATATGTCTATTATGACTACCATGTGCCTTGCTACATGTGAATGCAGTGGTTCCACATTCAGCGCTTGCACAGAATTGGGCGCTGCGGGAAACTAATCATACGCCGATCCCTTTAGGTGGCAGGGAACCGCCGCGTAGGAATGTGTGATAAAACTGTCTGCACTTCGGGCCAGAACGGTGAGACGGTGGAATGCCCCCGAGCATTGCAAATTGCTCGCGGTTGTAATATGTGCGTGAAAACTGCACAACATATGTGTGGGTGTTTTTCCGTGTGTCCTACATGTATGCTACGCGTATCCATTATGTATGTCTGCTGGGTGTGCGTGCCCTTCGCGTCGACTTCTTCAGTATCATCAGTAGGACTGTTCATGATGTGTATCGTTTACGTCTGCTCTTTGTGTCCGCCCATTGCACCGTATGCCCTTCGTGTACTTGATGATTGACTGCTATTTGTTCCTGCCCTTTTGTCTGCCTCCTGTATCTTATGTAGCACTGTCGCTTGACAATGCTGGCGTGGCGCCATCGATGGGTAGGGCTGCCGTGATGCTGTAATGTGCCACTATCGTTGACTACTGTGTTGCTCACGTCTGTATCAATACGCTTCCGTATGCATGTCCCGCTTTCCCCTCTCATTTTTCTGGACCTGCTGCCTGGTTCTTTCGCTCAAATTTGTCGCTCGTCTCTTTCGTCGACTGGTACGGCGTGACGGTGATGCCGTGAGGTTCATCAACTGTGTCTGCCAATATTCCCCAAACAACGTTTTCACTCAGGAGTTCCGGCAGTGTCGGTCCGGCAGGCTCGTCGCTACCTGTCGCCGCGTCGCCGCATTGCTTCGCATTGCTTTGCGTTGATTTGCGTTGCTTTGCATTGCTTTGAGATACTTTGCATTGTTTTGCATTGAACTCCTTTGCATCGCATTGCGTTGCCTTGCTTTGCATTGCCTGCATGGTTTCGCATTGCATTGCATTATTATGATTTGCATTGCGTTGCATTGCGTTGCGCTCCGCTGCCTGCCTTGCACTTTCTTGCATCAGCCTACATTGTTATTGCATTGCGTTCCAGTCCTTTGCGTTGCTTTGCATGTATTTCTCTGCATTGCGTTGCACCACATAGATTGCACAACATGGTTTGCACGACCTAGATTGAGCCACATTGATTCTCCTTTGGAAAAAAAAGGAATTAGCTTCTACCACCCTCCCCCCCTGGGCTCAAAGACCCCCCTTTTCGTATTGCAATTTACATATGATTCTGTCCCATCGTCCATCCAAACTGTGAATACTTACTATCCCAGCCAAACCCATATCGACCCCCCCCTCGGTTCCCTTACAACTAATACTATGCGCGCGCACTCGTCTATCAATAGTACCAGAGATAACCCCAATCAGTGAATGGTTTGCTAATTTGTGGTATGGATGTTGAGATCGATTGTGATATCGATGGTGGAATTGATAGTGAGGACGATTCCAATGTCGATCGTGAGACCAGTAGCGAAGTCGATTCAATGAGATCCATGGTGAGATCGATCGTGAGATCGCTCGGGCGATTGACAATGCGATCGATAGGGAGATGGATTGTGGGATCGATTGTGAAATCGACAGTGAGATCGATCGAGAGGTTGGTAATGAGATCGGTGGTGGGACTGATCGATAGGAAGAGCGACCAGGAGCCTGGGAACCCCGGGAATCCTGCCGCCCACCGAAGTCGGCGGGAAACCCGGAACCGGGAACCCGGGAGCCCGGAACTGGGAACCCGGGAACCCAGCCTGCTACCAAAATCGGCGGGAAACGTTCGTCAAATCTTTCTACTCCCGGTAGGACCCTTTCAGCGCAAGCACTGATTGGGGAAACTTCATAGATTTCCACAGTGCGAAAAAAAGGTGCGCGCGCGCGTCGTCGCGCGCATGCCGGAATCCTTCAAAAACTCTCGGTTTCGGAGGGATTTCAAAATGGAGTTTCCAAACAACATACAAAGACACAGGGTTTCGCAACACTGTTTTTTTAATATAAAAAACCCTTACGCGCGCGCGCTCTTGCGAAATCTTAGGAACACCATAAAGTCTTTCAATCTTTTGCAGAACATACTACCAAACGGGTTTCGCGCGCGCATGTCAAAATCGTTCGAACACCCTTGCGCGCGTGCCGTCACGAGAATCCCCAACAGAGAAAACGAAGTGCACGCGCGCGCGCGTCGTCGCGCGCGCATGCCGAAATCCTTTAAAAACATGTGGCTTCGGACGGATTTGCAAATCGAATATACAAAAAACATCAGAGTGAGGGGGCCGAGCGGTCATTCACTGTCCCTGGGTGCGTGGCTGAAGTGGAATTCCGCGGTGCGGATTCTCGTTGTTGTTGTTGTTGTTGTTGTTGTTGTTGTTGTTGTTGTTGTTGTTGTTGTTGTTTGTTGTTGTTTGTTGTTGTTGTTGTTGTTGTTTGTTGTCGTCGTCCCACCCGCGACCCGCCCCGCGACCCACCCCGCGACCCACCCCGACCCCACCCACCCGCGACCCACCCGCGACCCACCCCGCGACCCACCCCGCGACCCACCCCCGCGACCCACCCGCGCGGCCCACCCCGCGACCCACCCGCGACCCACCCGCGACCCACCCGCGACCCACCCGCGACCCACCCCGCGACCCCGCGACCCACCCGCGACCCACCCGCGACCCAAACCACGTTCAAGGTGCAAACCACCATTTTCGGCGCCTGCGGCGGGCTTTTTTGCATTCCTTCCAGGTGGAGAGCCCGCGACCCACCCCGTGGCCAACTCGCGACCAACCCGCGACCCAAACCACGTTCAGGATACAAACCACATTTTTTCGGCGCCTGCGGCGGGCATCTTTTGAATTCGTTTCAGGTGGGGAGCCCGCGGCCCACCCGCGACCACGTTCAGGGTACAAACCACATTTTTCGGCGCCTGCGGCGGGCTTCTTTTGCATTCGTTCCCGGTGGAGAACCCGCGGCCCACCCGCGACCCAAACCACGCTCAATGTACAAACCAATGTTTTGGGCGCCTGCGGCGGGCTGCTTTTGCAATCCTTCCAGGTGGAGGTGGAGAGCCCGCGACCCACCCGCGACCTAAACCACGATCACTGAACAAACCAATGCCGCACAAGCGCGGCGGCGGATTTTTGCATGCCGTCTGAGCCTGCAAGGACCTCTTCAAGCCCCGCGCATCCACACCAGCCCGTCCAGCAACTCTGCCCTGGCGGGTTGCCTTGATCAGAGAAGGCGGGGAGCATAAAGTGGAAAAAAATGATTGCGTTGCAGTTATCTTGGGAAAGGAGGGGGAGGCAGGAAAAGTAAACAGGGGACGAGGAGAACGCGGAAGAAGAGAGGATGTAAGGATAATGTGGAGAAAGACAAGGAGGAGGAGCAGGAGGACGAGGGGGGTGAGGAGGGGGAGGAGGGGGAGGAGGAGGACGAGGAGGGGGAGGAGGGGGAGGATGATGATGATGATGGACGACAATGGGAGGACGATGATGGAGGCCGATGGGGGGGAGGACGACAATGGGAGGACGATGATGAAAGGACGAGGGGGGAGAGGGAGGACGAGGAAATAAAAGGAGGAGGAGGACGAGGTGGAGGAGGAGGATGACGATGACGATGAGGACGAGGACGAGGAAGAGGAGGAGGAGGAGGAGGAGGACGAAGAGGAGGAGGAGGAGGAGGAGGAGAGCGCCATCGACAGGGAAGGTGGGGGCCACGAGGTCCGCCGGCTCGACGACGCCCGCGTCGCCCGCGCCCGCCCCCTCACTCTTATCCGCAATTGCGGATTTCAACAAAAGCGAGCGCGCGGGCTCTTGCGTCGTCGTCGTCGTCGTCGCCGTCCTCCCTCCTCCCTCGTCGTCGTCGTCGTCCTCCTCCTCTGTCTATCCTCGTCGTCGTCGTCCTCTTTAGCACCGTCGTCGTTTCCGTCGTGGTTATCGCCGTGGTCGTCCTTCCTCCTCTCTCGTCGTCGTCGTCCGTCGTTGGCGTCTCGTCGTCGTCCCTCCTAATTCGTCGCCGTCGTCGTCGTCGTCGTCGCCGTCTTCCCTCCTCCCTCCTCGTTGTCGTCGTCGGCGTCGCCGTCCTCCCTCCTTCTTCGTTGTTCGCGTCGTCGCCGTCCTCCCTCCTCCCTCCTCGTTGTCGTCGTTGTCGCCGTCGTCGTCCTCCCTCCTCCCTCGTCGTCGTCTCCGTTGGCGACGTCGTCGTCATCGTCGTCGTCGTCGGCGTCGTCGTCGTCGTCGTCGGCGTCGGCGTCGTCGTCGGCGTCGTCGTCGTCGGCATTGTCATCGTCGTCGTCGTCGGCGTCGGCGTCGTCGTCGTCGTTGTCGTCGTCATTGTCGTCGTCGTTGAAGTTGTCGGAGACGTCGTCGGTGTCGTCGTAGTCGTCGTAGTCGTCGTCGTCGTCGTCGCTGTCGTCGTCGTCGTCGTCGGCGTCGGTGTCGCTGCCAAGTGCAATTTGGCACCTACCGTCACGGTCTCAAGAGGTCTTGCGACCAAGTTGCGGGTGGGAGGGTGGGATGCTCGCACGAGCAGTGGAGAGGACAGCTTCAGGACAGTCAAAGTGACCTGCACCACCCAGACTGCACCGCAGGCACTGCAAGAACGTATACTGTTCTGGCCCACGCTGGCTCACACATCAGTTCCTCTGTGTGTTCCATTGCGCCGCTCTCCTTCGTTCCAATATGGGCGGCCAGATTCCCATGGACGGCTTGGGGACGCATGTGGGGCCCGGCCAAAACTGCGTATGTGGGCCGGGCGGGCCGGGCGGGCGCCATCCTCGAGGAGTCTCGAGGAGCCGGGACCGCTACCGCTACGCCCCGGACCTCTCCCCGGGGCGCGTTCCGACCAGGATTTCGGGGCGAATCCCGCGGTGGCGACGAGGGCTTCACAGGAGGCCCAAGAAGGCGAAGAACTGGCGAGAGGGCAGAGGTATGGGCACCTCTTCCTCCTCTGGCCAACGGGCTGTCCGGGACGGACTGGCCGATCGATTTTTTCACCACATCGGCTTTGCTCCAGAGGTTTTTCATTTGCCTGCGAAAGAATGATGGGCCGATGTTCCACCACCTCTACCATAGGTAGGAGAGGGAGGACGAGAAGGAGGAGGAGGAGGAGGAGGAAGAGCAGGAGGAGGAGGACCTCCCCATCCTCCCGTGCCCCCCTTCCTACCTAAGGTAGTGCTGATGGAAAGGAAATTGGCCCATCGATGACACCGGTGGGTGCGGGGCCCCTCGTCGGAGACGGCCCTCAGCGCTGCCCGGGGGTCCTCGGGGGTTCCTCGGGGGTCTTCTGGGGGGTCCCCGGGATTTTCCTCGGCGCTGCCAGGTGTTCCTCGGAGTTCCTCGGGGGTGCTCGCAAAGCGATGTGCCAGGGAACGCCAAGCAATGCAAACCGACGTGAAGCAATGCAAAGCATTGCCAAGCAATGCCAAGCGATGCAAAGCAATTCCAAGCAATGCCAAGCAATGCCAAGCATAGACTCCAAACAATGCAAAGCAATGACAAACACATTTCTAAGCAACAACGCGAAGCAACGTCACGCAACACCAAGGAGTTCATCTCAAATGATAGCCTTGCCATGCCAAGCAATGCGAAGCGACGCCAAGCGATACCAAGCAATTCCGAACAATGGAAAACAACTCTTCCAAGCAGTGCCAAGTAACACCAAGCAATGTATAGCAACCATTTCCAAGCAAGGCAAAGCCAATGCAAAACCAGTGCAAATCAATGGCAAGCAAGGCAAAGCCAATGCAAAGACAACGCAAACCAATGTCAAGCAATGCCAAGCAACGCCAAGCAATGCCAAGCGAGGCCAACAATTGCAAATCAATGCACAGCAATTCCAAAACAAATACAAAGCAATGCAACGCAATGTCAGGCAATGCTAATCAAGGCGAAGCAATGTGAAGCAACGCTTAACATTCCACTGCGCTGAATTAATCTGAACTGATTTGGATTGATGTAGGATGAAGATGACCCCAATCGGGAATCGCGCCTGATTCTTCTGTGGTTGCTCTCACATGTCCAGCCTGCTGGGTGGAAAACAACAGATTCCCCAGACGGTCACCCGATAAGGCATATCCTTCAAGTCTCAAATATTCGCTCTTTCCTGCCATACCGCATCCCAGTATCCCGTCCCGGACCAGCGCAGCAGAGCAACTATACAGCTTACATTGGAGTTCAAAGCAGACCGAATCAACCAGACAGCTTCGGAATCTCAACCGATCGAAGCAACACCGTCGGACACGGGCCCACCGCTCAGAGACAGCGAGGATCGTTTGCCCAGCCGCTTTCTTGACTCCACTGGCCTCGCCGTCGCCCATGTGTTCAGCTGCGCTGGCACGCAATTCTCTGACCTTTGGGCTACTTCTTGTGGAGGCCCCTGCCCTGGCATACCCCTGCCAGTCCGCACCGAGTCCACATCGGTACGCTCGTTCCGAAGTGTCTTCGGCGCGCCGTGGACTCGACATCAATAGGATTTTAAGTCCACGGGGGGGGTAAGCACCTAGTGGTGGTGGCACCAGAGGTCTCCATAAGACGAGGCGCAGGGACCTTCTTGCCGAGCCGCTGCTTCAGGAAGTCGCCCGCGGAGGCCTTCGCCTCGGTCTTGCCGGGGGCCTTCTTGACGCCCCTCGCGGGCACCTGGCGGCCCGCCTCGGGAGCCGAGCATGAATCCAAGGGCGTGGTGCAGAGGAGGGCGAGGCCTGGGGAGGCCCTCAAGCAGAGCGATATAGCAGGACCATCCCGCGTTTATCCCCGCCCTGGAACCCGCGGCCCTCAACCCCTGGCCCCGAAAATGACCCCGACAGCCCCTGTGATGGCAACGATCGCTCCTCTAACTCGACAAGCTGAGCAAAACGTGCTTCGCTGTGCGCATCCGAGCGGCGCCCTACTCCTCCCCTGAAAGGCCATGCGCCATGCGACGCCTTGGCAGCAGCCAGGGCACCTAGGAGCAAGCCAGACTTGGGAGGCAGAGCGCTCCCCACGCCTGACCGACGTACCTCCCCGAGTCGGCCTCGGAGACCCCCCCCTGGACTCCATCCCGACCGACTGCCCAGGTCGTGTCAGGCAACGGCGGCGATCGGAGGCCCTCCGGCAGCAAGGAGATGCAGCGCGAGCAGCCGGCGCAGGCACGAACGCATCGCAAACTCCTGCCTCGACCACGACGGGGGCCCCGGCCACTGCCACCGCGCGAGCCGCTATCCGCCCAAGAACGATCTCCGCTCGGGAGGCCCACGGCGGCTCTCTTGAGCAGGGACGCGCCGTCCCAGCAGTCCTATATAGCCCCACCGCGGAATGTCCTCAGAGCCAACGAATGCCCGAACAACAGCCACGAGGTGACTACAGCATGACGCCTGGCGTGCTATAGAGCAAGACGGTCTCAGCCAGGTCCTCCAGGACTCTCTCTGGTGGGCCTATCGGCGAGCCGAGACGCCTCGCCACTGCTCGACTTCGAGAGGCCCACGGCGGCTCTCGGCACCCACCCCTCGCACGGCTGCCGCGGCGCAGGCCGTCCCCCGTGGGCCCCGGGGCCCCGGGGCAGGCCCCCCGGAGGGCGTTCGGCCTTCAGCGCACGAGCCAGCAGCGCAGCGGCACGCCCATGTCGGGCCGGGGCGGAACGGGGGGGACGGCAGAGGGGGGGCTGGAGAGTCAGCTCGCGCAGGTGATTTTCCCGGCGCCTCCCGACGCAGGAGGCGGCGATGTATCGAGGAATGGGCCCCTCGGTGGGGCCGAAACCAGCTTCACGCAACAGATTTCGCAACCCCCCCTTTCCCAATCCCCCCCTTTCGTCCGGCCCGACCATGGATGGAAGGCAGGTGGGGCGGACCTTCTCAGATGGCTCGAAAGGCCTCCGGCCTTCTAAGAAGAGGCGGCGAGCGAGGGGGGGAAGTGAGAAGGAGGAGGCCTTCATGAGAAGGCGGCGGACTTCTCCGAGGCCGCCGCTCCTTCGGAGAAGCTTCCTGCGTCTTCGGGAAGAGGCTTAGACCACTTCTCCGAAGGCCGGGCGACTTCCGAAACTTCGGAGCAGGCCTGCCCCTTCTCGCTTCCCCCAGGCTCGCCGCCGAGAGAAACCTTCTGAGCCCTCTCCGAAGACGGAGGCTGCTTGTCAGAAGGACCCTGAAAGGCCCCGTCGCCTGCTGAGAACCCTGAGATTGGAATTCGTGAAAAATTCAAGGATCGTGAAGAATCACGGCCGGAACCGAACCGGATCGATCTGTGAGGGTCCCTGGGCCCTGGGCCCGGCGAAAACGCCCGGGCTTCGAGAAAAAAAGGAGAAGCCGAGGCGCCACGAACCCGCCGCGGGTCAGGGACGCACTGGCCCGGGCTAGTGCACACCCAGGTCGGTCGGGCCTTGCAAGATCCTGCAGGGTTCTGCAGGGTCATGCAGGATCCTGCACCCAAGCCAGGGCCAGTACGCCCCTGGCCTGCAGGATCCTGCAAGATCCGGCGCTCTGGCTGACCCCCGTTTGCATCGACCCCCGTCTCTTGAGCCCCGACGCGGGTTGGGCTGCTCCAGCCGGGCCTTGGCCTTCATGGCCTCCGCGCGCGCGCGCTGCGCGGCAAGCGGGGGGCGGGCGCGCGGGCGGGACAGGCGGCGGCGGGACAGGCGGCCTCGAGGCCTCGAGCCGAGAAGGGGGGGGGCGCGGGCGAAAGCGTGGCAGCGAGAGAGGGCCGAGGGCCGGGGGAGGGGAAGGAGGGCGAGGTGGGAAGGGGGTGGGGGGGGAGGAAAGGGCCAGCGTTAGGATGATGTGAGAGGGAACGTGTAAGTTTGTTCTCTCTCTCTCTCTCTCTTTCTTTCTCTGTCTCTCACTACCTGTCTCTCCTCTCTCTCTCTCTCTGAACCCATGTTTATGTGTGAATGTGTTAGCCAGCAGGGACCCCAATCAGTGCAGGTCTAGCAACGTGATTTGCGCAATCTAGATTGTGGAGCGGGGCAGTATGTGTGGCGCAACATATATGTTGTGCAATCTGGATCGTGCACTCGATGTTGCGCAATCTATGTGGTGCAGTCTACGCTGCGCAATATATGTGGTGCAGTCTCGGTGGATCAATCTATGTGGTGGCTCTAGGTGGTGCAACCTATGTGGTGCCTTCTACGTGGTGAAATTCACCTTGCCGAAATTGACAACGTCGACTCCGCTGCTCGCGCAATCATTCCACCCACCCACCCGCAACTTTGTTTGCAAAACCCATGCGGCAGCGATTGCGATGAACGCTTGGCGTTGGCTGGTGCATCTCTGTGGTCGCACTGACCCGCGCATGCTTGCGCGCGCAGCGGCCAGCTACTTCGGCGCGACCGACGCGAACGCTGTGGCGCTGACATCGCGGCACATCCCAGCGGGCACTTCAATGCGAGTCGGCGGTTTGGGCGGGCGCGGTATCATCGCAACGTCGACAGCGGTGGACACGATGATGATAGTAGCGATGCTGGTGACGATGCTGCCAGCGACGACGGGGCAACCAGTGACGGCACCGATGCTGATAAAGCCAACGACGATGACAGCGTCTTCGCGTCGGTGGAGAAGGTTTTGGAAGAAATTCGGCATGCGTGCGCGGCAGACCCGCGAGAGTGGCCCGCATCGTGTTGTTTGACGCGGATCTTGCCACCCCAGCAAGCGCGCAAGGGATTTCGAACGATTTCGACATGCGCGCGCGAAGCCTGTGGTAGCATGTTATGAAGATGTTGAAAACCTATGATGTGTCTAAACATTCGCAAAAACGCGCGCTCAAGTTTTGGTTATGGAAACCTGTGTTGCGAAACCCTGTGTTTTTGTATGTGTTTTGGACACTCGGTTTTAAAATCACTACGGAACCGAAGGTTCTTAAATGATTTCGGCATGCGCGCGTGTGCCCCTTTCTGTTACAAAGGATTTTTGAAAACTGATGGTGCTTGATCGCGCGTAATACTGTTTGCAGAGGATGGCGGGGGGCAGGGCGATACCGTATGTGCTGGCATGGTATGAACTCATATTTCAAATGCGCGATGGGGCAGACCCGCATGCAACTTGCAATGCGAAAAAGAGGAACCGACAATCCCGGGGCGGGGGGGGGGTGCAGAGTCTATTCCCTTTCCAAGAAGGGGGATGTATTTGGTGCAACAGATGATGTGCCGCCATTTTTGATGCAGTCTTCGATGAGCCATTTCTGTAGTGAAATGCGTGTGGTGCAATTAACAAATATGTGGTGCAATCTACGTGGCGCAATTTACTTTGTCGAAAGTGAATGTGTCAGCTCCTCTGCTCGCACAAACACCCCAACCACGCACCCGCAGCTTGGTTTGCAAAACCCATGCGGCGGCGATTGCCATGAGTGTTTGGTGTTGGCTGATGCATCTCTGCGGCCGCGCCAGCCCGCGCATACTCGCGCGCGCAGCGGCCAGCGAAATTGACGCGACCGACGCGGCCGCGGTGGCGCTGACCGTTGGGCACATCCCAGCGGGCATTTGAGTGCGAGACGTCGAATTGGACGGGCGTGGTATCATGGCAACGACGGGAACAATAGACACGATGGTGATACTAGCGGTGCTGGTTACGATGCTGATCGCGCCGGCGACGATGACGGCGCCCTCGCGACGGCGATGAAAGTTTTGGAACGAGTTCGATGTGCGTGCGCGGCGGACGCGCGAGCGTGGCCCGCATCGCGTTACTTGATGCGGTTCATTCCCCACCAGCACGCGCGCCAGGGCGTTCGAATGATTTCGACCTGCGGCGCAAGTGGCTCCCTTGGCAGAATCCGATGAACACGTTAAAAAACTTGTGATCTCCTCGGGAATTCGCAAAAACGCGAACGCCGCTTGTGGTTGAAAACTGATGTTGCGAAACCATGGGTGTTTATATATTGTTTGGACACTCGGATTTGGAATCGCTACGACACCGAAGGTTCTTGAAGGATTTTGGCATGCGCGCGCGACGACGGCACGCGCGCAAGGGCGTCCGAACGACTTCGACATGCGCGCGAGCGAGAAGCCCGTTTGGCACGTTTTATGACAATTCTAAAGAACCGATGGTTTCCATTAGAATGTGTAAGAACGCGCGCGGGAGTTTGTTTTGAACCTCCGTGTTGCGAAACCACATGTTGTATTTACACATATATATATATATATATATATATATACCAGAACCACGCGCGCGCTTCGCGCGCGCTTAGGTTCTAGCTAGGAGGCGAGCTTGAGTCAACGAAAGTCGCAGGGAAGGGGGCAGGGGGAAGAAGGCCAGAGAGCGCTGAAGGATACAAATACTGGAACCCTCTTGTGATTTTGTGGGGGGCCTCGTCCGGCCGCTCGCTGGGAGTTTGACGTAGCTTCTCGGGAGCCTCTGAACCTGTCGGGGGCCTCCTGGAAGCAGGTTCGAAGCATTTTGGGGGCCGATTTGGGGCTTCTCGGGGCCTCCTTTGGGCCTCTTGGGGGTCTCCTGGGGCCTCTTGAGGGGCCTCCTTGGGGCCTCCTGGCGGCCTCTTGGGGCGGAAGGCTCGAGCTTGCGGTTCGTGGTCCCCCTCTGGGCCCCCTCTTGGGCCCGTCTTGGGGCCCTCTTGGGCCATCTTGGGCGCCTCTTGGGCCGTCTTGGGGCCCTCTTGGGCTGTCCTGGGGCCCTCTTGGAAGCTTCTTGGGCCGTCTTGGGGCGGTCTTGGAGGCCTCTTGGGCCGTCTTGGACGCGGTGAAAGCCCAAGATGCGAACATGCGAAAAATATACGTTTTCCCATAGGAATGGCACGATTTTTGTTTCTTGGACCTCTCTTGGGGTGCCTCTCGGAACGTCTTGGGCTGATTTTGGAAGCCTTTTGGCGCCTCTGGGCGGCGTTTTGGCGCCTCCTGGGATATGTTGGGCCGGAAGCTCGGAATTCGAGAGTGGCTTTCTCCTTCTGGGACCCCTCTCGAAGTCGTCTTGGGGTTCTCTTGGGCCGTCTTGGGGCCGTCCTGAGCCACTCGTGCGCAGCCTTGGAGCGCTCCCGGAGGCCTCCTAGGCCGTCTTGGAGGCCTCTTGGGCCGTCTTGGACGCGGTGAAAGCCCAAGATGCGAACATGCGAAAAATATACGTTTTCCCATAGGAATGGCACGATTTTTGTTTCTTGGACCTCTCTTGGGGTGCCTCTCGGAACGTCTTGGGGTGCTTTTGGGAGCCTTTTGGCGCCTCTTGGCGGCATTTTGGCGCCTCCTGGAGCCTCTTGGGCCGGAAGCTCGGAATTCGAGGTTGGCTTTCTCCGTCTGGGACCCCTCTCGAACTCGTCTTGGGGCTCTCTTCGGCCGTCTTGGGGCCGTCCTGGGACACTCGTGCGCAGCCTTGGAGCGCTCCCGGAGGCCTCGTAGACCGTCTTGGGCGCCTCTTGGGCCGTCTTGGACGCGGTGAAAACCCAAGAGGCGAACATGCGACAAATATACGTTTTCCCATAGGAATGGCACGATTTTTGCTTCTTGGGCCTCTCTTGGGTTGCCTCTCGGAGCGTCTTGGAGGCTTCTGGGACCTTTTTGGTGTCATGACAGGCGTCTTGGAAGGCATCTGGAGCCATCGGAGCGCGTTTCGAAGCCGCCTGCGAACGATCTTGGACGGCGTCCGGAACGGCTGTGGGAACACATAGCCCAATACCTTGGACAAACTTTGGCCCAACGTTTGGCCACATAAACGTTTCCAATAAGGCAAGGGGGCGGTGGTGATTCGCATTAGGCGTCTTCAATAGAGACAAGAGGTGTCACAAGAGCTGCGCTGGCACGGTGGCGGGGCATGCCGCAGACAGCTGAATATAAAAACGGTGTTCGTACCTTCTCTGATATCACGAGAGTCCTGAGCCAAATCCAGTAGGTGGGCCTCAGGGGCGCACTTGGGCTGTTTTGGGGCGTCTTCAATAGAGACAAGAGGTGTCACAAGAGCTGCGCTGGCACGGTGGCGGGGCATGCCGCAGACAGCTGAATATAAAAACGGTGTTCGTACCTTCTCTGATATCACGAGAGTCCTGAGCCAAATCCAGTAGGTGGGCCTCAGGGGCGCACTTGGGCTGTTTTGGGCGCGTCTTGGGCCGCCTTGGGGCTCTCTTGGGCCGTCTTGGGGCCCTCTGGGGCGCCTCTCCGGCTGTCTTGGGGTAGTATTGGGGGCTTTCGATGTCGTCAAGAAGTGTACGACAGCGAAAACAATTGATATGGTAAAAATATACGTTTTACGAAGGGAATGGGGCTATTTTTGCAATTTGGAGATCTCTTCGAGCGCGTCTTGGAGGCCTTTTGGGGCGTCTTGGGGGCTTCTGAAGCCGTCTGGAGGCAATGTTGGGCGTCTTGGGTGACCTTTGGGCGTATTAAATGCTTTCTGGTAGCTTTTTGTAAGCCTCAGGGGCGCACTTGGGTTGTTTTAGGCGCCTCATCGGCCGTCTTGGGGCTCTCTTGGGCTGTCTTGGGGCCCTCTGGGGCGCCACTTAGGTTGTCTTGGGGCGGTCTTGGGAGCCTCTGATGTGGTCAAGAACTATACGACAGCGAAAACAATTGAGGTAGTAAAAATATACGTTTTGCGAAGGGAATGGGGCTATTTTGCCCTTTTGGAGATCTCTTCGGGCGCGTCTTGGAGGCCTTTTGGGGCGTCTTGGCGGCTTCTGAAGCCGTCTGGGGCGATGTTGGGCGTCTTGGTGCGAC